GAAAATTGAAACCTAAATCAAAAAAAATTTTAACGGTTTCGTGCAGCCGCAAACATAACTATAAAAATTGTGGTTTTAATATAATTAGCCTTTTCGGTCGACCGAAGTTTCTTTGGTTAACCGGTCGACCGAGATTTAAAGTCCCACTTTGACTTCCAAAATTTTGGTCGACCGAAATGTCTTGAGTCCCCACAATTTTGCTCTGTCTTTCAAAAATAATGCCTCCTGCCAATTAAGAATGGTAATTTCACTCAATTCTGTTTTCCATCATCAGGTAAAGTGTGATTGTGGGGTGTTACAAAAAAAAAATTGCTGGATTAGGATCCATAACTAATTTATAAGCCAATGATGCGAAATTACCCGAGTTCAATCATCTTCTCTTTCCTTGCTCCAACATCATTCTCGAGGGTAAATGGCGAAATGTGACTGTTTTCAATGGCCAAGGCTCGCGAGAAAAATAAAAACACCTAAATCCCATTGAATCTTCAGCTACTCCCCTGAAATTGCATTCCATGCACAAAATGCCAAGATTTAAATGTTTGGACCAATTCCAATATTGTAATATAATTTCTACTTTTTAACTCACTCAATTTATTCAAAAATACTAGAATTTGTTGGAAAACACGATGATTGAGGAATTGAGAGTGTCATTACATAAATTATAATAAAAGATATATAAAATGTGACAAGTTCCTCGCTTTCCTTATGTAAAAATAATCTGGAATAAATTACTTGGATCGAAAATATGAAAACAATTTCTAACTATAACTTCTCTAACATATGAACAAATTTCTTTTCTTATTTTCAGACATAACATTGGCAATCAATTTTGTTGCAACATCAAAAGAAATAAGTGAACTCAAAATTTAGTTGACAAAAATTAAGGAATAAAATAACCTGCGTAAAACAACATGCACTATCCGTGTGTCTATATATATAGCACATATCTCATTTCATCTCTTCAAAATCTCCCGCGCAAACAAAAATGAAGGTGATTGATCTGCTTTCTTCTTCTTCTTCTCTAAATCCTGCATGTAAAATGCCTCTTCTAATTTTATTCTTATCTAATTCTGAATTGCAGAGAATGTTAGAATTGAACTTTTTTCAACAGGTAAACGTACGGCTTTCATACGTTCAATTCGTTTTTCAGTATAGATTTAATAATTTCAGTAATTTGATTTGGAAATTGTCATTATCACATTCAGAAGTAAGAACACTGATTTCATAAGTTCAATTTATTTTTCATTATAGATTTAATAATTTCGGTAATTTAATTTGATTTGATTTGGAAATTGTCATTGTTAAGAACACTGATTTCAATTGTGATCGCAGTTTAAGAGCAAGCTGGGTGCTGATTCTCCCAGCACAGGCGAAAAATGTCAATCTCATTTTGATGATCTTTCTCACTACCACAATCCTGTGATCAGTGATACAAGGTTTCCGCCTGTGAAGAATCCGGCAAAAAAAATATTTGACCTGTTGAGCTATATTCAAATTTTGTATGATAGGACTGGCAGACCTAAGATCAGCAAACCGAGCACTCCAGATGAAGACAGTAAAGTACTTGATGTTGTGGAGTTCATCATCCTGACATTACCATGAGAATCACTTGAACTATTAAATTTTTAGTGTCGATATGGAATAGTGAGTTGTTTAATAAATGTGGTTAGTCTACTATGATTTTATGGCCATGGTCTCCTTACACCCAATCTCGTGCTGTAACGCTTTTAACTGTGATGAGCAATAATGAATTAACTACAAATGTATCAGAAATTAAGTAGTTAGCTTTGCTGATAATACAGTTCTGCAGCTGCATCTTTTGAAGACAGGCTCTCAAATTCTGAATCTCAATTCCAGTCAATTCTACAATTTTACTGTCAGAATGTTAAGAATCCTAATTATTAGATAAACATGAGGGGAAAAAAAAACCCAAAGCGCTAACACAAAATAGACATTAAGTACTTATTCTCTTGAATAATATGCTTCACCATGGCCATATTTTCCTGTGTTCATAAAGCACACGAATTTAATCAGAAAAGAAAAATAAATAAATACCGAAGAATTGCTATAACATTAGATTCTATAATTTTGATCCAACAAAAAGAAAAAATATAGTACCTTGACAAGATTACCGATGCAGTCTTTAGCAGAAGCAAAATCTGGCCGTGACTTTTCAGGAATGATTGGAGACTTGGGCTGTGGCAAGGAATTAATGTCTGAAAGGCCCCCTTCTCACCATGTTTCCTGTTGACCCCAAAAAATGTTGCCAAATGTCGAATCGAGATGATGCCCACATATCTAAAGATTGCCAATGATGCTATTGGATTGAGCGACCGGATATAGAGATCTTCCACTATTAATCAAAGCTGAGATAGTGGCGTGTCCTTGGTTTTTGATATTGAGATTGTATTTGTAAAATCGAATATGGACTTGTAAGACAAGAATTTATGGCAATGTAATCATTATAGTGCGATTTCTATTTCAATTTTTGCATCCCTTACAACGATACAAGAGTTGTTATTTATAGTGTCCAGGGCGGAGTCCTGTTGGATGTGTTCCATGTGGCCGCGTTACCTTAATTGAGCCCTCACATCATTCCTATCATTCATTATTTACATTGACAAGGGGTTAGTCACCATATTCCTATAAGCTGACATTTATTTACTCAACATCACATTAATCCTCACGAGATATATTCCACTCGGGAGGATCGGCTTTGGCAAGCGAGAGTGCTTCGACGGGAGGCAGTACCCCGGTTTGAGTAAGAGGGACCTCGGCAATAACCTCTTTTGTCTCGTTTCCACGTCTGATTGCCAGGCGTGTTTTTGTGCGGTTTCCACGTGGCTAACTTTCAATCTACCGGTAACAATAGTCTCTCAAGTCGATGTATTGACCATTTATGTGATGCATTGACTTATTTTGGATGTAAGAATATTGGAATTTTGGGTGGTTAACACTATAGTCCCCCAAGTCTAATTTTGAAACAACATTATATTCCACCATCTTTTCTCGGAAAACATTTAAGTTTCAATATTAGAGTTAGGAATGTTTAATGACATGTTTGAGCCTCATTCTTTTGCCAAAATACATTTTGGAAAAATGATTTGATGGAAAATGTGCGGTTACAAAATAAGAAAAAAATTTGAATTTACTTGTAATATTATTTTATTGAAAATATATGGTTGAAAAGAAAAAGAGAAAAACGTATTTTGAAATTAACAGGGATCAAACATGCTATAAAATTAATTATACTATAAAATATAATAGCAATATGAAAACTTGCAAATGTAGCCAATACTTGCACTCAAGAAGCACCATGACTATGCGAGGAACGTTGTGAGAGACGCGAAAAGGGTCAAAAGTTAAAATTACATTATGTTTGATACACGTTCTTCTAAAATATATTTTTTTCTTTTATTTTTAATCACACATTTTTTTTAAAAAAAAATTTACTCTCGAGTCGCTCAAGCCTGTTGTCATTCGTAGTTTAGACCCCCAACGACTCATCATGTAATAGAGAGTGAGGAGAACAATTTTATAGGTTTGGGACTAAAAGCGTATGGGTGCTAAAGATTGGGGGACTAAAAGTGAAATTTTCTCCACCAATTGAACAACAACGATGTAATAATTGCAGACGAAAAAAAAGACCTGGACCACCGCGTAGGCCGTAACCGATGTTGCTACGGTTACTAACGTCGTTTCTCATTTGATAATCATAACATTCCAATGGGTTCTCTTTGGCTGTCGCTTTACATTTGAACTCGAGTACTTCCAGTGAAGTAAAAATCAAGAAAAATTATAATTGGAAGGCTCGCAGCATAAACTGCCGAAAAATTCAACAAAAAACTCACCATTTGTTGAATTTATTCAGAAAGAGTTGGGGTTTTCCTCTTTTATCACCAATTCGCTAGAAAAACGTTTAAATCTGGTATTTTTTCCTCTTGATTTGTACTTGTGCTTTTTCTTAGATGAATTGGATCGTTTTTTTTTCCTCAGAGCTAAGTGATGTACTGCATTTTGTCTTTTTATTTGAATTTGCGAATTTTGCATTTTAGTCCTCTGGTTATTAGATCGAGGAAAATTTTCTCGAGGATTTGAAATTTGGTTAATGCTGTTTGATGTTTTATCTGGAACTATTCTGAATCTGTTTTATGTGAATGAAGTTTGATGATATGTGATTTTCTTGTAGAGTTAAGATTTTGAGGTTTATGTAAAAGCTTTATGGCGCGGATCAAGCCTCAAGCTCTTTTGCAACTAAGCAAAAAGAAGAAGGGACCGAGTAGGATCAGCGTCACGACCATTCTAATTTACGCCCTAATTGTTATAGTCATGGCGTTTTTCCTTTACTCTTCCTACAGGCACTGGTCTAGGAGGTTTGTGAATTTATTCCGTTCTCCTTGCTGTTGTTCGCATTGCATTTGAACTGATAATGTAGTAATCTGGTTGCCATCTTTGGTTAATAAATCTGAAATTTATTCACTTAGGAAATTGTGTATATGGCTAATTAGATCACTTAAGATGGATTTGATGAGCATATGGGGAAAAATTAGTGATGGTTTGAATTTTGTAATCCTTCCTGTGATTAGTCTGATTAATTTTTCAAGTTAAAATGAAGTTGTCTTATAAACTCTGTTAGTACAAATATTGCAGTCAAAGATTCTCTTTCTGAATGTAAAGGGGTGGAGAAATATGCATGGAATGATAATTTTAAATACTTACAGATTCTCATGCAATTGTACGGACATATACTAAGTTGCGCAGAAATAGAAGTCTAGAAATAATCTTTGCTTTGGTTCATAACCCATGGATGCTTATTCCTGTGTAGGTTACAATTTCATATGAAGAATGCATCATTAGGTGTAGAGGTAAGAATTATTCCCCAACAGTTTCTATAGTAATTCTCCTCCTCCTACTAAATCACTTATTACAATATTATGCTATGCTTCCCTGGTTGTAAATAGGACCTTGACCTTTTGCTGCGAATTTGCCTCATTGATTGCCTGTTGCTGCTAGGAATTGAGAGTCCTGCTCTATCACAGGGACGAATTAGGATAGATAAGGACAGCTATGAAGAGTAAATTGTAATGTGTTAGGAATTTTGCAGTAGAACTATAGAACGTAACAGAGAATTGTATGGTTTATTCAGCTGAAATGGAAGATTGAAATGCAATGATCCGAGGCATTCGAGAGGCCTGGACTATTCTAACTATTCTCACTCGTTTCCTGACTGCCCTCTAATTCCCCTCCCCTGTCACATTTATGGACAACTCCTGACTCACTGACTACCCTCCCCCCAAAAGGATAACAGACTACTAACTGAAAGTAACAGACTGCCTCTGCCGCTAAGCTGACCCATGGTTACTCTGCTTCTTGGCTACCTCTTTGTTATAATTGTTGTACTGCACAATATATTTTGATAATTGTCACGCATTTAATTCAAAGACAGCAGCCTCTGGTGTGTTATGGCTCCCTCTCTAGGCGGATTAATTGAATTTTTTTTATCTACTGTGTTGTATTGGTAGCTACTCAATAAGCATATTAAGATTCGTTATGAATCAAACTGCAACGGAGTTATCCGTCCATTGACTTTAGGAAGATGATCAACATTGTCACGTGATTATTGCAGCAAATTTCTAGACTATTAACCAAGGTAACAGTTGACATTGTCACCTAATGCTTTCTAATTCAGATTCACCTGTTTTATGCAATGAGGGGATGTGCTATGCCTGACTCCCCTGTCCAGAAAAGGAGGGAATAAAGAATATCCTCTGGTGTTGACATCCTTTTCACTTCCGTTCTCTTTATTTCTCTAGCTCCCTCCCTTCCTCCCTCCGTGTTTGTGTATGTTCTCTCTGTACTAAGCTGTTTTCCATTCTATCAAGGTTTTTTGCTGAGTTCTGCTTTATATGATATGTTTCGCTCATCACTTGCATTTGCAATGTCCTGGAAGCGGGTCACAGAATTTTAACTTGTATGAGTAATGTGACCAAACTGAAAACTGAATTTTAACCGTGTAATAAAGAACTTTGTCATCCAAGCAGGCGACGTTGATAGACCTGGAAAACTGAAGACTGGACTTCAAGGGGAAATCATTATAATCAACTCGACACAAGGTATGATCTACCTCAAATCTCCATAAGTTCTTTTTGAACTCATTTAGTATTTAATGCGCCATTGCTATTGAAATGTACTGAATTAATAATGCTTGACTAGCTTGAAGCATGAAGCTTTTACGCTTGGTACTTCTAAGGCAAAACAGGATGGCAGCGGATTCCATCTTTTCATTACAACTGCACCAATTGCAGATCAAAATGAGAAAATTAGTGTATTTGGACGAGTTGTCAAGGGAGAAGAAGTTGTACAGGTTAAACGTCTTTGCTTATTTTCAATGTTATTACGCACACTCCTTATGCATTTCTTCATTACAAGAACTGAATCAGGCCTGCTAGCCTGTATATCACCATATATCCATTTCTTGACCTAGAATACTCTTAAGATGGATATTAATTCCACTTACATACTTTCTTATGTCCGTGTCATTGCCTTTCTCTTGCATTTCTGAGTTTAGATTATGTTATGATGCATTTGCTGAAATCACTTAGTACTTTTGAAGATTAATAATAAGCTGTGATGATCAAGTCTTCAACGATGATGCCAAATAGCCAGTGTTTGATTAATACAATTATCTGTATTTCGACATTTTACCTTGTAGGTCCAAATATGCTTTTTCTATAGCTTCCGGAGATATGTTAAGAACTCGACATACAAAAAACTTATATTTGGCGATAACTTAACTAATAAATCTTGATTTCCCATGAAAGAGAGCAGTTAATAAGTCTCTGTGGCGTGAACTTTTCAGAGGTGGTTATTTCATTAGTTTTTCTTTTAGTGCATATTATTGTTGACTTAGATCACAATGAGTTGATGACAAGATTTTCTGTTTTTCTACTCCATTTTCTGCTCTTCATTTCCATGTTTTTATTTCAGACGTTTATTGCATGTGAAATTCGATGATTATATACTGAATGCATAATTGTGACATGATATTCAGGAAATTGAAGAGGTGGACTCAGACGAGCATTATCAGCTTAAAACACCTATAGAAATCATCAAAGTGACTCTGAAACAAAAGATTTAATGGATCTTAGTTGGGTTTTGTGACTGCTTTCTGTTTATACGATGAGGCTGTCGACACCATCAAAGACAGCTTCTTATAGTAGAGTTGAGTTATTCTTTATCGCCTTCTCGTTCTTTTTAAGTGCGGGTTTTAAGTCCTCACTTCTTATGCACAATGATTTCGTTTATCCTGTTTGGATTTTTTCTTTGTTATTGTATTATTTTCTGAATCTATCTGTTGATACCAGGGTTCTTTTTTGCATTCCTTCTTACGAAGTCATTAGTTGTTCCTTCAGATTTGAGCAAGATTTTTGAGAATGAAGCCTTTTTCAAAATTGAAGTATCTATTTGGAACCGATCGATGCCAAGTAATGGTTTTAGTTTGGAAAAAATAATTTGGCATAATTCTTCTGGTGACCGTCGCATTTATTGTTAGGAAAATTCGTCAATTACACAGTGAAATATTTCTATGTATTGTCGAGACACTCTCTCTTGTGCGCGTGATAGTGACAAAAAATAGGTCTTAGCATATTTCAAATTTCCTCGTTCACTTTAGTGTTTGTATAAAGAGCAGAATATCATAGCTCGACAAAATCTATGTTATTTAATATTTGGGGGTTTGAGGTAGTGAGAAATTCTATATGATTTAGCGTGTGTTTGATTCTCATTGTTTCCTTATTATAATGAGAAATATGATCGTGCAACTCAAAAAGCAACTCTAACAATCATATTTCTCATTACAACGCAAAATAAATGAAGATCAAAGGGAGCCTTAATAGCTTTTTGATATAGTCAAATATTTTTGTCTTCGACAATCTGGGATTATTTTTTTCCGATTTCAAAATATTACACATAAATCTCTATATTATTTTTATTCATAATTTTATATTTTCTAGCATTTAAATATTTATCTGAGCCTGTTTTGATATAATATATATATATATTTTTTGAGAACGTGTGGTTAAAAAATAAGAAAATTTTTTCGGATTACATATAAAATTATTTTATGTAAGAATATGTGATCGAAAATGAGTTTTTTAAAAATAGGGACCAAACATAGGTTAAATAAGGATCACGTGGACAAATTGAGAAATTGTTTTCAATTTTCAATCGTTCAATTCAAGACACGTCAAGACAATCGATCGAGATTACAAAAGTTGGGAATGTTCCATTAAATTATAATTCATTGTTCTATATCTTTTTATGAATCACATATTTTTAATATAATAATATTATATGCAAACCTAATTTTTTTTCTTATTTTTTAGCTACACGTTCTTCAATTATTTTTTTTACATTCTTATTCTTCTACTCATTTTCAACAACACATTATTCAATAAAATAATATTTCCCCTCACATTAATAACTTTTCATTCTTTTAAAATCACATATTTCTCATCACATAAACAGTAAAAATGCATTTTTTTTTTCCAAAAAGGTGCATCAAATAGGGGCTAATACTGTTGAGAAAGCAAAGCTGAAGAGCTACCTTAGTGCTCGAGTATGACATAATTTTCAATCGAATGAGTGCATGATAATTACTTCTTTTTGACCTATGACCAGTTCCATTTTATGGAAGGATATTAAGGTTCATATGTCAGTGATGTCTTGGAGGTGAGAGTTATAATTCTCATCTTTGATAAACCTTTTTAGCTGATTGTGCAGCACTTGGCAGTGTATGTTATATTTATTTAGTGTGTAGGACTGTTTTTTTAAAATTATCTGAATGAAAATTTTAGGTGCAAAAGTCAAATTTGGAAGAACTTCTTATGCAGCACGTCGAAATGGCTTCTGAGATAAAAAATCTGGATACCGACCTGCAAACGTTAGTATATGAGAATTACAAAACGTTCATTAGTGCTACAGATGCAATCAAAAGGTAATTCTTGTGTCGAAACAAACTTTACCCATGCTTTTAGTGAATGTAATTATTCTTCTTATTGAATAAACATAGATGCCCAAAATTTATTAATAGAGGGTCATAA